TGTCATTTTGATTGTGTGTGTGTGTGTGTGTGTGTGTTTGTATGTTTGTGTGTGTGTGTGTGTGTGTGTGTGTGTGTGTTTTGTGTGTATGTGTTTTTGAGTTTGTTTTTCGTTTGTGTGTGTTTGTGTGGGTATGTGAGTGTGTATGTATGTCTCTCTCTCTCCCTCTCTCTAATAATAATAGATTCTAAATGTAATATATTATAATAATATAACCGTCTCACTATCTCTGTCTGTCTGTCTCTGTCTCTCTCTCTGTGAGGATTGACTTGGGGGAGAGGGGAGGGGGGATTCATTAAGCCTCCTTTAAATGCACTGAAATCCAGACGTAAACTCTGGGTTTGTCTTTTCTCTTGATATTTCCACAGTACACCAGGAGCTTCAGTTAGTTTTAGTAAGAGTTTTACGGCACTTGCAATACACGGGTCATTATAGTCATATAAATGTTATATCGGAGATTAGAAGTGTAACTAAAGACTCGCTAAAGAATAACATAAAAAGATTAGTTTTAATAGAGGATTCACGGCTCTCGCAACTGCATACGGTCATATAAGTGCCGAAGATTATGGGTGTTACAAGAGAGTAACAAACATAAATAAGGAGAGAGAAGGACGATAGATGTTTGATAGGACAAAAGGAGCAAACCACACCAGAGCACCCGCCGACCACCAACGAAGAGGAAGAGGAGGAAGAGGAGAGGAACAAGCAGCAGGGGGAGGGAAAAGAGAAAAAGAAGGCGAAAGCTTCATGACCAATTAATGGAAGAGATATCCCTTCAGAAATCCTCGAGCATTACAAAGGAACAACGTGTCTTAGTCGTTAGCCTACTGCTTGTTTTTTTTACCCCACTGGACCAGTATTTTTAGAGCCTCCGATTGTTACTTTCTCGTAACCCCCCCCGTTTAAAAAAGTTTTAGTAGAGGTTTTACGGCGCTCGCAACTGCATAAGATCATATTATGAGCGCCAGAAGATTGGAGGTGTTACAAGAGAGTAACAAACATAAAAATAAAAAAAGAAGAAGGGGAAATAAGGACGATAGATGTTTAATAGGAAAAAAGAAGCAAACCGCACTAGAGCATCCGCCAACCACCCTCCCCCCTTTTCTTTTTCAGCACTTAAACTTAAACAACCCATTTGTGTTGCAAAAATGCATAAAAATGCAGTAAAACTTATTAAAACGAAAGTAAAAATAGTAGGGTTACTAAAACTAGATCTCTCTCTCTCTCTCTCTCTCCTTCTCTTTCACGTACTCTCTGTCCCCCCCCCCTCTCTCTCTCTCTCTCCCTCTCTCTCCCCCCCCCCCCCACACACACTTCTCTCTCTGACAGCCTTCAAATTGAATAAAAAAATTAATGGTCTTTTATTAATAATCCTCGTGGACTACCCCCTTACTTTGACTAGCTCCCAAAAGAGCTTTTGTTCACCCTAAAGAATTCGCATTTTAAAAAGATTTTTGTTCACCTCCATTCACAAGTTTCCTGAAACTGAAAGGCTTTTGTACCTCCACCCTCCCCCTCCCTACCTCCCCCCTCC